ACATTGAAAAGTAAAAACGTTTTGTGCTAAATACCCAGTAAAAAAAATCTCTCGGGTTTAATCAAGGAAATAAGTTTGGGACAGCTCACAATCACGGGGAAGAAGTATATTCCTTTTTCTTTCCCAATTCATTTCTGTTTTTTCTTTTATTTTCTAAATATTTTTGTTTTTTCTATTGCTATTTTAAATTATATTTAGTGAAAAAATATGGAGAGACAATTTTGTCCTTATAAAAAATGGACAACTAAATTTGGATTCGAAGTTTCCTATGCGACAGATTTTTCAAAAGTTTGGAATTGCAATACTAAAGATAAAAGATTTGGGATCTATTTGCACTTTTTGAAAAGATTTAGAACCCGCAGCACTTTTCCTAATTTATATAATAAACGAATGGCATTAATAGAATCTTGTAATTGTCGTAGCTGCACATTTTTTTTACGTGTAAATTTCACTAAAACTGCTTATATACTCATAAAAGTTTAAAATTTGATCTTAACTTCTAATTGTATTTTACACGTCTCAAATGTAGTCAACGAAATTTTCAATTATTGACCAAGCAGCAACGTGTCATTTTAGAAATACAAATAAAATTCCGTCGGTTCATAATTTCATAAATTTGTTTTAAAATAGAATTATGGACCCACGTAACAAATTAAATTCCAATTCTAAGCAGCTAGAGTCCAACTTTTTAATATAGTTACAAAATTAGTCTTCAAAAATGGAAATCCTTCAAATTTCAAATAATATGTTATGGGACCTTCTTACGGTGATAGTAAAAAAATTTGTTCAATTCGATACCTACGAGTCCGTCGCGAATGAGACAGGAATTTACCTGCCTAATTGGATAAACTGAACCAAAACAAGGCAGGGGTCATTACCTGGAAGTCAATACAAGATAGATGTGGAAAACATGGTTCGCACCTCATTACTTGTCCCATTTAGAGTTAATTTCATACTTAAGTTTTTTTTATTAAAGAAGAAGAAGAGGAGGAGGAGATTTATGATCATTTTTAAAGAAAACGAGAATAGTTCTTAACAAATTGGAAAAAAAAAAAAAAAAGTAATAATATTCACTACTAGAGACATAAAAACAAATAAATAATATGAATAAATAAATAGGGCGATAAACGGGGAATGGACCCGACCGCGTCCCCGTTTTAATCGGGTATGTGGGTGGGACAATGTGATAAAATTATCCAACGATGGGGACGGGTTTGGGGGATAGGAATGGCAAACCCGTTCCATACCGACCTGATTGCCATCCCTACCTTCCCGTGCTAAATTTTATTAAAATTAGACTTTATTTCTCAATTTGGTTAAATATACGAGAATTTTAAGCGAAACAAATTTTCAAGAGTGACGTGAAATACTTTTTTGGTAGGTGATAATTTCAAATCATTTTTCGTTGTTATCTGCTAGACTTTACCTACTTTCAAAAGAAAATACTTTTAAACAGTTTTTGAAACATTGACCGTTGACTGGAATATCGATTATTCTAGATATTTCATTGGTCTTTCGCTTCATTCACCTTGCCTAACAAGGTTAGAAATAATGCATTTAGAGTTAGACAAAACTCTCGAATTGAGCGGTTCTTTTTAAGTTAAATATCCAAACAAGTATGTGAATCGAGAACCGACGAGTTCAATTCACTCTCGATTCTAGATTAATAACCGAAAAACAGAATAAGAATCGAATTTTCCTAATTTTTTAATTAATTTATTTTAAATAAACTAAATTATTTTTTCGAATAAATTTGCTAACTATTTAATTTAGTTCAAATCCAAAAATATGATTTTTCTATTTCTAATTTTCAGTGCAAAGCCAACTCAATCAAATTGATATAAGTTTTATCTAAATCTAGGGTTGGGCAAATCTCCCGAATCGAACCGAACCGAACTGAACCCGACGATTCTTGTCAAATTAAATACCCGAACGGATATTTGAATTGAGAACCGACGGGTACGATTCAATTCTCGGTTCTAGACCAAGAACCGAATAAGAGCCAAATCTTTCTAAATTTTTTTTATATTAAATAAATCAAATTATTTTTAATTTAAATTTTTTCTAAACAAATTTACAAATTAACAATTTCTAAATCCAAATTTTTGGTCCAATAATTTGTTTCATTTCTAATTTTTTGCTCAATTACCCAATTTATTGTTTCATTTCTTAGCCTAACAAGATTCAACCCACTAAATAACCCTAAACACCTACACTAAAGTGCATAACACTGTCTCGACTCTCGCACTCACTCTCGCAGCCTCGCTGACATTTCAAAACCTATAAAATCATCGACCGATGCTGTGACCTCTGATCGAAACTGTGACTTCCAATCGAAGCTGTGACCGTAGCGATCATCTGAACAAGGTAGCCTACTAGTCTCTAACATTCCAAAATCATTGAATGTGTGATTAGTTGTATTTATATAATGTTGTTATAAATGTTAAAAATTTTAATTATAGTACAGAACCGAACGGAACCGAACTCAATTGGTTCCATAATTATATTTGGACCCGACGATTCCATTTACTAGATACTCGAAAATTTTGGTTCGGTTCGGTTATCTTTAGAACTGAATCGACCCACGCCCACCTCTATCTAAATCTGTTACTCTACTGTAGTATCATTTCTACTGTACTGGAGAAATTGAATTGAAACTCGACAATGTCTCTCTTAATTATTTTGAGCTCGTTATCTTTTTTTTGTCTTGTGATTTTAACAACCAAATCTATAAAGAACTCAATAAAAAGAGATGCCAAAAATCCGTAAGATTAGAGTATGTTATTTTGTAAGAAAAATGTTGAACATATCATTAATTAAATTAATGTAATTTTGTAAATATTAAAAAAATTAATTATAATATGGAATTTGGGAACCGAACCGAACCCAAATGGTTCCATAATTAAATTTGGATTCGATAGTTCCACATACTAAATACTCGAAAATTTCTAGTCCGATTCGATTTTCATTAGAACGAACATAATTGAACCTGTCCAGCCCTAAATGCATTATTAATTTGTAAACATGACCTAACGAAAAGGATGGCTAAAATTATTATTATTTTAATTTAGGTGCTGCTGTATTTCTCGTTAAGTGTATATTATTATAACGTTTGTCCATAGTTGACGTGACCACATTCCAACTTCCCAATTTCAAATCTATCCTTCTTGAAGCAAATCGACCCAATTCAATGAATATCTACAACATAATGACAAGAAACACCCATAGATGTACATGGAGAGGTGATAAACAATAGCCGCCTTTGGCCGGTACCACATGCAAATATTGGCTGAGCACATTTATTTTTGGCACATTTTCTTTCTTGAATGCTACATGATTGTGAGGGCCATTCCTAGGCAACCTCCAATTACCTAACTAGCCTAACCCCAACAAATGATAAGTCCATGTTCAAATTCAGATGGAACACGTATCGACACATGATTGGACAATTTAAAATTTTTTAACTAAAATACCTAATTATTTTTTGACACATCAATCTATCTCTTCGCTCTTGTTTTTAAGTCTGACCAAGTGACTTTATTCAACAAAGTATAAGTGAAACAATTGTGAGAATGTTAAGTGAGCTTGTAGTATCTTTATCAACATATAATATAACAAATCCAATCCTGAAATGTGTGTCTAAAAAGATTTTTTTAAACATGATTTTGTGCATCAAAAATATTACATATAGCCGGAATGTAATTAAAAGTGTTCTACATCACTCTTTAGTCTTTATTTTATTAGAATTATGCAAAAATTGATTAACAATGTCGAATTTTTTTTAATAAAAAAAATAGTTTGGTACAGTTTTATAAATCTTTTAAATGTGCATATTCTAGGGAGTATAGAGCTAGTTTGGTACAGTTTTATAAATCTTTTAAATGTGCATATTTTAGGGAGTATAGTACTAGACAAGAACAGATGATAATGAATGATAAATATTGTAAATGCATGACATATGGTGATTTTTAAGTAATTGTTTAAAACTCCAAAGAAAAAGACATTTTTCTCTCAATTATTAGTCATTACAAATATATTGTAACCAAGCAATATCCAAGAACTTGCCTTCAAATCAAGACAACTTGCACGTCATTACAACATATTAAAATGTCCACTTGCTCAAGTAGGAGCATTATTAAGTGGCCATTTGGACCACCGTGACAAAGACCCCATTTAAATGACGCGATATATTTAGGGTCTATTCGGACTCGATTTTTTCACCCAAAAAATTGATTTTGTGATCGTTATTTCATTATTTTAGTCGTCACATTTGATTTCTTCTCTCATAGATGGACCCCACTTTTCTCCTAATGATCAAAAAATCAATTCTCAAAATTACTTCCAAACAGGCTCTTAATAGAAACTGACAATCATATTTCTTTCTTTATTTTTTTTAAAACTGGTTTTAGTGAAGTAGATTGTAGACTAATAAAAGAATAAAGCTGAATTTTTGGGCCGTTTGACATGATTTTTAAAAGATCAAAATAAATTTTTGAGACTTAGAAATTGCTTTTGAACCTGCTAACTAATTTTGTAAAAGAACTTTTGGTGACTTCCTCTAATAGGAAGTGCTTTTTTAAATTAGTGTTCAAGTAAAAACTAATGTAACTTTCTCCGCGAATTTTTCTGTAAAAGTAAAAGTCATATCAAATGAGTTTTTTGTATATTGTATCACTACTCAATTTTATTCAATATTTTATACTGAGCTCCCTAAAGTCGAGTCGACTTATTCTTTACCGTTAGATTTGCGAATTGAAATTTCACACAATCGAAATCGTCTATACAGTTCTCTGAATCTAATTCAAATAGATACGTGCCCACCCTAAAAGTAGGTATTAGATCACATGTGATGAAATTCTAATCACTTGAAAAAATAAAATAATGTCAAAAAATATTTTTAGAATGCTAAAGTGGCCAGCCACCTCCATATCCTTCTACCTTCCACGCACCATCACACGTGCTTCATAATTCCTACTTATATATACAACGAACCATTTCTTAAAGAAAAATCTAATCCAAAATATCCAATCTACCCCCAATATCTCATGGCCCTCGTCCGTGAACGCCGCCAGCTTAATCTCCGTCTCCCTTTGCCGGAAACCAACGAGCGCCGCCCTCGCTTCCCCTTACCCCTCCCGCCCACCACCACATCCTCCTCGTCCTCCTCCTCCTCGTCCACCACCACCATCACCGCTTCTGACCTCGAAAAACTACAAGTCTTGGGCCACGGCAACGGTGGCACAGTCTACAAAGTCCGCCATAAACACACCTCAGCTGTGTATGCATTGAAAGTTGTTCACGGAGATAGTGACCCCGCAATCCGCCGCCAGATCCTCCGTGAAGTTTCCATCCTCCGCCGAACAGACTCCCCATACGTCATCAAGTGCCACGGCACCTTCGATATTCCCGGCGGCGATATAGCCATCTGTATGCAGTACATGGACATGGGCACCCTCGAAACCTTAATGAAAAAGGGCACCAAATTCTCCGAGCATCTTCTTTCCAAGATTTGCTTCCAGGTTTTAAGCGGGCTTGAATATTTGCACGCCCACAAGATTATTCACAGAGATTTAAAGCCTTCTAATGTATTAGTAAACAACAAAATGGAAGTGAAAATTTCCGATTTCGGAGTCAGTAAAATCATGCACAGGACATTGGATCCCTGCAATTCCTACGTCGGAACTTGCGCTTATATGAGCCCAGAAAGGTTCGATCCGGATACATATGGTGGCAATTATAACGGGTACGCCGGCGATATATGGAGCTTGGGATTGACTCTACTGGAATTGTACATGGGACATTTTCCATACTTGTCGGAGGGGCAAAGACCCGACTGGGCTACACTCATGTGCGCCATATGCTTCGGCGAACCGCCGAGCTTGCCAGGAAGTGCATCGGAAAATTTCAAGAATTTCATTGAATGTTGTTTGCAGAAAGATTCCAGTCAACGATGGAGTGCGACGCAGTTGCTATCACATCCTTTTGTGCGAGATATTGAACTGAAGTAAACATGAGGAGAGTAATTTTGAGGAAAATGGCCAAAAATTTGCCGGGGTTCCGACGAGGGTAACAGTTTCGGGAACTGTTTGTACATAAAAAGGGGGGAATTTTCAAGAAATTTGGTTCTTTTGTTCCATCTGTATATCCTTTCCTTAATTTCCTAGAAATCCGTTCGTTTCAATAGTAAACTGCTGTAGAAATTGGGAGACGATATCAATCTAAACTCTTATCTGAATTTTATTTAGCACGTGTTTGAGCTACATTTCCAAGAGTTTCCCAATTATTCTTACAATAGCACAAAAGTTTATTCTCATTCTTTGACCACAAAAATAAAAATTATAACAGTTATTCATTACATCAAGTCCTCATAGTTGACGTCTATTTTTAGTGTGGGTTCCATAATGATTATATTTTTTATTTTCATTCTTACAAAAATAGATACCAAACGAAACATAAATGTAAGAATAAGGTAATTATTCCAAGTTATGAGGAAAGTAAAAATGCACATCCTTGCTCGACAGAGGAAGCAGATATGAACACTAATATTTCTAATTTATATATAACTTTTTCAAACAGATACTGAATCCTCGTTTGATTCCTATTCTTTAAAAAAAATACGTTCTTAAATAATATTTTGACATCATTTCAATCACACATTCTTAAATAAAATAATATTACACATAAATTCAAAAATTCATCTATAGGGGACAACGAGTAGGAGAAATGGAGGGTTGGGCTCTAGAAGAATTTGGTGTTGTTCATATTTTATAAGAGATGCTTACTTATAAATTCTTATCAAAAGAATGAGAATTAAACAAGGACTAAATTAAGTTGTTGTAATTCTCTATATGTTTTGCAACGTGTTGTTATGTAATATTCTTTGTAGCATGATTAAAATGGGTCATCCAATAGGCTGTTGAACCTACATTTCTTGACTTGGGAGTACAACTATACCGACAAATTCATTATAATTTTATAGACTGCGATGCTTTCCATTGTTACTAACATATTGTATTATACACGCGGAGTACACGGCAAATAATAATTCGAGTTCTTACATCGCACGAGAAGTACACTTATGACAAATTATATTATTTTCAACTTTTAATATTCAACTAAATTGCTGAGATGTTTGACGGAAATTAAAATTAGACCTTTCAGTATATTGCGATAGAAGTTTTTTAAATGTGTGGTTGAAAAGTTGTGAGACTCATTATAAATGTGGTTAATATTGATTATTTGATATATATATATATATATATATATATATATGTGTGTTATATTTTTTTTTG